CACAGAACAATAAATCAGAAACAGCCACACCCGAGAGCGGAGCCCTCTGCAGGCCTCAGGACTGCCGGTCTATCCCCCATCCCCTCAAAGAATACTTTCCTTAAGAATGCCTGAGAGAATATTTTTAAAACATAAGTCAGGAAGAATAAACCACTGTCGTAATGAAACAAACTCTTCTTCCACAAACAAACTCATTTACCAGTGGGATCTTGGGCATCTAAGACCAGAGGATCTAAGACTGTTTGCCAAAAGATCCACTTTATTTTCAAGACTTAAAGAATGCTTGGGCATTCACTGGCCACTGTCCTCCTCCTTCCCCAGACAACCAATGACCTCCTTTCTGTCACAAAAGATTTGTTTGTATTCTCCAAAACTTCATGTAAATAGAAATCATACAGTACATACTTTTTTTTGGTCTGTCTTCTTTCACGCAGCATAACCAGATTCATCCATATTTTTGAATGTACTATGTTGATAGCTGATTCGTTTACACTGCTGAGTAATAATCCATAGTAATGGACTTACCACAGTTTGTTTGTCCATTCTCCTGCTGATGGACATTTGGGTTGCTTCCCAGTTTGGGGCTATTACAAATAAAGCTGATATAAACATTCATGAGTGAATCTTTATATGAACATATGCTTTCGTTACATATTTTAGAACAAAACCTTTCATCGTACATGTTTTGCAAATATTTTCTCCCAGCGTGACTTGCCTTTTCATTTCTGTAAAAGTGACTTTAGAAGACCAGAAATTTTTAATTTTGATGAAATCCAATGTGTTACTTTTTTTTATATTTACAGTTTTGGGTTTTTTGTGTCCTACTTAAGAAATCTTTGTCAGACCCAAGGTCACTAATCTTACGTTTTCTTCTAAAAGTTTTATAGTATCAGCTCTTATATTTAAGCCTATGACCCATTTCAAGTTATGTTTTTTGTATACTATGTTATAGAATATTTACGTCTGTAATGAGGTTATAGTATGATAAAAATACTCATTTATACACAGTAATTGAAGAGAGCCCAATACAAATTTTTATTTACAGTATAGCCAGTTTATAATGAAGTCTGACAAAAACAAACCAATAGAAAAAACCCATGACTAGAAGAAAGAATAGACAAAAATATACTGAAATATTTTAATTACTGTTTTTAGATAATGTGACCATTGCCCATTTCCTGTTTCTTTTTACTTTTCTATATTTTTAATGTTTCCGTAATGAGCATCATCTATCATTATATCAGAATTAAACTGGAACATGTTTTAAAAGTTACTAAGAGAAGGCTTCCTGCCTCCAGGCTGCTTTCACACTGCTCTCTAGTGCATAAATGGGGATCCTGAAAGGTGAACATGCTACCAGGAACCCACCCCTCCCAACCCCACACGACACTGCCTACCAGCAGGAATAAAAGAAACAAGGAATTTCTAAAGTGAATGTGAGTTTAATTAAAGCCTTTAGATGAAACAAATACAAACCCAAATACAAATACTACTCTAATCAAGAATTCCAGCAGGGGGTGTTGCCCTGTTTAGCCCCCCAATGACATTGTGGCACGAAAACGCTGCAGTCATGGACTGTGTGTCAAACAGCTTCTCCGCTCACTCAGCCTCCGCGGGCCAGGAAAGCTAATGCAGTTTTCTCGCTGATGTGCTCGCTGCCCTTCTGTCTTGATCTGCTGGCAAAGACAGCCTAAGTCTGGAGCCTCACACTCGGCCGAGGGCTGGCCTCCGCCTCTCCGTATGTGCACACTCCTGACTGTCTGGCAAGTGGGATCTGCCTCTTAAGCTGCTGCAGAGGCCAGCCTGGCTGGCGAGATTGCCTACAGATGTTTTACAGGGAGAAAGATTGCTTCCCTGATTGATGAGTAAATAGACTTGTCAACATGGTCTCCCTGATGAGAAGGGACCCCTGAAGTATAATGTGGAAGGACAGATGTTTCATCTGGGAAGGTGTCCAATACCCTTAGAAGAGGTATGCACTCGGCTGATGTTGTGGATATGTAATTCAGCCTCTGAGAGAGAAGAGAGACGCTGGACCCACAACCACAGCATCATCGCAGGGCCTCCCTGGGCCAGGCCACCTCCCAAATCCTGATAAGAATGTGCGCATGCCACCTCTTTGGGCTGTTTTTCAAATGAATGAATGGGCCCTATTATCAGAAATGCAGTCATTTTCTGAGTCCTTCCCTACTGTGAATCACAAAGGGAGTAGCAGAAATGACACTGGAAGCCTCAGGCTAAACCCCAAGGGCTTACTCTCACAGGAACTGCAAAGGCAGGCACAATCAGACTGGGAAGGGACCAAGGCACCTGTGGTGAGTTACTTTTTTCTCACCAGCACGCAATTTTAGGGATTTCTGGCTGACCTTCCAGAATGAACCGGATAATAACTATTATCATAATTGTTTTACTAATTGTAAGCATAGCTGTCATCTTGTTGAACTCTCACACAAACATACACACAAAATACCCTATGCAAAATACCCACTAACCCTTTCTGTGAGAATTACTAGAGGATGTATTCCAGCAAATGGAAATGAAAAATGGGATAAATGCTGTCATTAAACTTATTTAACAGAAGAGGAAAAACAAATTCAGAAAGATGAAGTAACTTGCCAAGGTTACATAGCTAGAAAATAGCCAGCTTGGGAATTAAGCCCAGATTGGTCTCATTCCCTCCCATATCCATGCTGTTAGCCACTATAATTTTGTGGCCACCAGAAGATATGGGAGATGAGGATTACATTTGCAACATAAGCAAAAAACTGTTGATGCTTACAATACAGAAACATGACATGCCCAGAAAAACACCATTTACACCCGGATATACCTGGATACCAATGAGGTTTCTGCCTCTGTCTCAAACAGATTTGAGTTTAAAACCAAAAACCTCTTCTCCAGCCCTTCCAGAAAGGGCTATATTCTGGATTCTAGGAGGAAACATGCAAGGGACTCTCCATCTTACGCCCCGCCTCCCCACACCCCCAAATGACTGAACAACCTAGACCACTACAAGGTTATTTGGGTATTTGCAACAAAAGAGGCTACATCTTTCCTTCATCAAAGAAGGAAGAAATTGCATGTGGCAGGAGAATCCAGGCTAATTTTCACAGAATATGAACACATTATAAGGAACTTCAAATAAGGAACAAAAAAGGCATTGTTTTTATATTCCCCTCCTCAGTGAACCTGATTTTCCTTGAGGGTAGGAATAGGGTCTCTTGTTTACCTCTGAAGCCTCAGTGCCTAACCCGATACATAGTAGGTATTCGATACCTTTTTGTTGAATGACAATGAACGAATGAAGACAAGGACAGGTAGAATGAAGAGGCCAACATATGAGGGTACTTCAAAATATCTTTCAATTATATTTTTCCATGAACTTTATGAGGTACCCTCATATTGTACTGGTGAAAAACCTAAGTTTTGGAGCCAGACAATCATTGCTGCTGCTTTCTAGGTATACATACCAGCAAATTACTAATGCCTCTCTCTGCCTCAGTCCTCTCATTTATAGACTGGAGGCAAAATAAATAAAAACTTTACAAAATGGCTGGAAAAATTCAAGTATTCAGGTGCGGAGCACAACACTGGCACATGCTGAGGGTTCCAGGGATGAGATCTGTCTTTAGTACCAGGGAGAACACTCCAGTCTTGAGAGCAAAGCACATTATAATACTGCATCTTGGTCTTACCGAGACAAAGGCTGATTGTTTTTCAAATAACACTTAAAGTGATCTGGAGCAAGACGATCATGGAGGTTGATCGTCTTAGAGAAGCCAGAGGTGGTTGAGCTCTACTGTGGATCCCCTCCCCTCCCCCATGCGTGGAGCGCTGTTTCTCCACTACACTATGGTTTCAGAGGGCGGCAGCTGCCCAGGCACATTCAGGGGGAACTGCTAAAGGGACTGAAGGAAATTAAAACATCCCAAGAGGAGCAGGCAAGGGGCTCAGCATTGCTTAGACTTAAAAGATTAAGGGAAGGAATAGGGCCCATTCTGCATAGTCCCAGGAAGTCAAATCAGGTTTCAGAAAGGCTGAGGTTTATTTGCCTAGAGTCATGGTGCAGTGCAGGTGAATGGCAGAGCGAGCTGCCAAATCCAGACCAGGGCGTGCGCAGCTCCAAAACCCTATCACCGCACCTCTCAATTGCACAGGCAGCACAGCAGGCGGAGCAGAATACACACTGATGTCACTTTTCTCCCACCCACCTCACCCCACCTCCTCCTCCTCCGTAAAGAAAGCCTGTTTTGTGTGTGTGTGTGTGTGTGTGTGTCTGCTTTCTTGCTTGAAGTATTTTTGCAGGACCGAAAGCAGAAGCAGGCTGCATTCAAAGACTCTTCCCATCATCTGTAAAAGCCAAAACCCACTGGAAGGATAATGCTGTGGGCAGGGGTGGAGGTCAGAGGACAAAGGGCTTTAAGGACCATGAAGAAGACGAGGAAGACCTCCCCCTGGGCTGGGGAAGGGGATATCAGGTGTTGCACCCTGAAGAAAGAGCAAGACATGTCCTCAGAAGGAAAGGTGGTGGGGTGGCCCCCAGATGACAGGACCCAAAACCCAGAGCTGGCAAAGCTGCCACGTCCTATAGGGACATGGAACCAGAGAGCCCTGGGACTTCAAGGTACCTTGGAGGGTCATCACGGTGAGGCAGTCAATGGCAACAAGGAGACTAAAGGTTTGATCCCTGCTTTCTTAGCTGTAAGCGTCCTGGATCCTGACATCACTCTGGAAGGAGGAAGAGCCCCACTAATGACCAGGAAGGGATTTTCTGCTCAGCTGAAGGCTCAGAGTCAAAATGAAGTAGATTTAAAGGAAATAAAGATTGACATTCTTTACAAATATGTGTTTGAGAACTGAGATTCATAACCACAGGCACCGACCACCATACAAAATGACAACACAAACACTGTGTTCTCCCCTCCCCTCGGAGGCCGGTACCCTCAGCTCTGCCAGCTGCAGAGCGCCTCCAACTCCAGCCATCACCCCTCCTGCCTTACCTGGGGAGCAAGTGCTTGCGGCTGACACACAGGGCCGTCTGGTAGTCCTGAGTCACACACACTTTGTGAGGGCTGCATTTCACCTTCAGGCAGGGGTCCTTGGATGGGTCCAGAGCTGAGGCAAAAAAAGAACAAGACGATGGGGGTTAGAAACTCCAGAGAAATTTAATTTGTATCTCTACTCAAATAATCAAGTGGGAAATAGACTGTGTGTTTGCACTCTGTGCTGTTTTCTGAGTCTGGCAGGGGTTGGAATGAAAACCTAAGCCGGGGGGGACTCTTCTTCAACACCAGGATAGTGATTCTTTCGTGCTTTGTGGGTTACAGCATCTTCACCTCTGAAGTGAAGGAGGCAGGAATTACTTTTTAAAAAATCCTTTAGAATCTTACATGATCCATGGACCAAGAGCTACTTTTCCCTCTTTGGTTATTTATCTGGTGTTATATTTTATGACTTCATTCATGCCTAATTTTACTTACTTCCTGTAACATTAAAAGACCTCGAGGATAGAGGTTTTTGCTTCAGTTCAACAGACACCGATTATGTTATGTGCATAAATAACCCATTCTAAGTTTTTGAAGAACTCAGGATGTGCAAGACAGTTTTGTGCCACACAAAGTTACAATGTAACAGGGAGGGGAAAAAGCTTACACATAAATATTTATCGTGCAAGGCAGAATTAGATAAGGGCTATGATGGGCATATAAAATGATATCAGAGCTCAAGGGAAAAATAGAGATCAATTTCCAGGGCAAGGATTAGTGAAGCATTAATATGTGAATTGGATCTTGAAGGATGGGCAGGATTTTGAAAAGCAAAGATAGAAAAGGCAATTTGGGCAGGGCAAGCACCACATGCAAATGCAGGGAAGCACGTTTGGGCAATCATAAGACACATAATCTGACTATCAAAGTGTGGTTTGTGGGTGGGGAAGGTTGATTCAAACAAGTAACTCCAGAAAGGGTCTCCAAAGACAGCAGTGCACATATTTCAACATTTTCTAGAACAGGCTGAGCAGCGGGCCCTCGGCTAATCAGCACTCTGCATGCTGAGGTGCACATGCCCATCACTGTCACAGAAAAGGCCTCAAGGAATTCTCTGCAAAACAAAAGCAACTGTGCCATCTCCCAGCTCTGGGGCCTGTAGCCTATTAGGTGGTAAATCTTTCATAACTGCCGTCCACAGTCAGGGTAGGGGATGTTACTTCTTATCCTCCCCATGCAAATGTTTGGTTAAGCAAATTGGCATCCTGAGCAGGGACAGCAAAACTACTATAAAGAAATGCCACTGTCCCCTCCACCACTAGGCTCCCAGCCACTGTGACTCCCCAGCACACAGAGTAAGTCAAAATTCCTCTCTTCCCACCCAGGCCCTGAATCTGAATGCCATTTTCTTCAGATGACCCAGGATTCTCAAGGGTCCTGAACACACAACATCCAAAGTCATTTCTGCTGCTGCAACAGCTCAGGGTGGCTCCTTCCTCTGCAACAGCCTCTCAGCAGCTGTAAACAGAAACCAGGGTGCAACCCAGGTCCTGGTTCTGGTCCTGCAGGGGTCACCCGGCAAAGCCAGTGTCCAGGTTATGTGCTCTGATGACTGGAGTTTAGCAGAGAGAAACAGTCTACAAGATAAGAGAGGCTGATTTGAGCTCCAGGGACAGGGTGTCCACTCCAAGCTCCTAGGCTGAGGGCTCCCTCTGGGAGGCAAGTGGCAGGAGGCCTGGGTCTGCCCTCAGAGGCCTCCAAGACTGGACCTTCTAGAAACCTTCAGTAACAGTTTCTTGGTCCCAGAAAGAACTCTCTTGGTTTCTGGAGATGTCTGCAGGAGAAGCCAGGAGACTCGTCAGTATCAGGCCAGTGGCCTTCTCCTTGTACACTGCCCCCCTCCCCCACCCCCAGGGCTGAAGCCCAGACAACTCTGACTTGATTTCTAAGACTTATCCAAAATTGAGTCAACAATGAAAAACACTGCCCCTTTTCACACTTCCACTCACCACAGGATCTCAGGAAACCTGGGGACTAGTCCACTGGCAGTCACAGCCACAGTGACCAGCTGAGGCATTTCCTCAGTAGGTGCCAGTGCTGCTGAGAATATGTGATTTTCACTTGCGTGATCTCAGAGATGGAGAATAACAGGCTAGCCCGGGGTGATGGGTGTCAAAAACCTGTAGTACTACACGACAAGCTTTAGGGCAGAATTTGAACTTCTTTTTGCTTCTGTAGCTAAAGTCACAAACATGCAATGTCCACACTGCCTTCTGCTCAGCCTGAATGACAGTGCAGTCACCAGGAAAGCAACATAGAGGGGAACAGCAGGGAATAGTACAGACTCTAGGGCAGGAGCTGCTGGAATTGAATTGTGGCTCTGCTGCTTGCTAACCTTTCTATACTTCAATTTGCTCTTCTGTGAAATGGGATAACAACAGTATCTACTACTGCTTGTTGGTTGTCATGAGCATTAAATAAGTTAATATTTGTAAGTGCTTAGAACACACCTGGTACACATTAAGAACCTCATATGTGTTCGTTAAATTTTTTGTGTTTGTATTGCATTCCCAGAATGAGTAATAAGCTTCATAATAACAAGAACAATAGTTAACATTCACTGAGTGCTTCTGACATAGGCAGTGAGCTAAGCCCTCTCATGGATTACCACATTTGATGTTCACAACCACCCAAGCAGGTAGCTGCTATTCATGTGCCCATTTTACAAATAAAGGTCCTATTAAAAAGAAGTTACTGATGAAAGGTGCAGAGGGTATTTGAAACCTGATTTGTTGACTCCAGAACGTCAACTCCTCACCACCATATGCCACCAGCATGAGAATCACCTAAGGATCTTCTTTACCAAATTGATGTGGGGCCTCACCTCACACCAAGTCTAGAGCCCAGCGGGACCATATTCTTGAGAGGACCACAGGGCAGAATGAGACTTAGTGGGTAAAAGTAAGGGGCAGCCCCAATGCTCCCCCTCTGGGCCACTCGGCCCTGGAAAATTGCACCTTCTGCCCACTTCCTGTGAATGCAGCAACCCCCCAGCTGAGTCAACTGACCCATGGTCTGGCTAATTTTGTTTCTGCAATCTTCCATCCATCACCCTACCATTAGGCTTACTACTATAGATCACCCCTCCAATTTTGGAAGCAAACATTTCTTAAAACAAAAAACAAAAACAAAAAAACCCTCCAATCCAAAATACTAATAAATAAAAACTGCCAGTTACTTAGCTCCATACACATACTTAACAATTTGCATCCAGCAATCCCATCTTCTAAAAATTAATTAAGTTCTAAACACTTCAAACATATATGCGAATTATTTAGCATAAATGAAGTTCACAGAACAACAAAACAGTAACAAATCAAGTTGTCAGCATTTGTTTAATCACCAAGATGCACTTTTTTTAAAAAAAAAAAACAGCAGCATTGGGATTGAAAGGGGATGAGGAGGATGTCACTTCCATTTAAGTGCAGGCCTTCCAAATAGGCTTTTCCTAGCAGCCTCGAGGCTCAGGGTGACAGTCCTGAAAGGCACACAGCACCATACTGGACAGAGCTGTGTGGCTCCACTTCTAAAGGGAAAGATACGAGGGCAGAATAATGAATGGCATGGGAGAGGCCCTTTAACATTCTGGAGGACACTGCACAGGTGAGAAGGCAGGGAGAGGGAGCTGAGTGTCAGCGACAGGCTTGAGCGGGGCTTGAAGCTTCCTTGTCATGCTCCTAACAATTTCTTGGAGACTGTGTCCCAAGTTTCAATCTCTCTCTGCACAAGCCTGGTGACAGGATGCAGCAATCCCCAGAAGATGGTCCAGCCCTGCGTCCCTTCTACCTCTTCTATGACAATACCTGTGGGACTCCTGTGGACCTAAAGAGCATAACGTTCCTATTGCAGAGCAGGTACCCACCAAAGGTTAATTTCATCTCTCCTGCCCATACACAGAAACCAGTCAAGGGTCAACTGGCACATAACACATGTTCAATTATTTTTCAAAATAATTTTTACAAACATTTTTCTCAAAGAAAAAAACCAACAACAAATTAAAGAGATTTGTTGAGCTGAAAAGCATTGAATTCAAAAGCTAGCTAATTACCAGCTCCATGTAAGATTTTTCTTTAATTAATTTTATTTTTTAAGCTCACTGCTTGGTGTCAATTAAGGTGGTGATATTTTAATTATCTTAATTGTTTCTGAACGTGTTTTTCAGTTCAATGAGTTATTTTTTAATTAGCTACATCGATTTTAAAATCCTGAATCAAGCCTTTTCGCTGTCCTTGGGCACATCCTATGGCCTAATTGGCAGAGTCAGGACATCCGGAAGAGGAGCGCTTGATACCACTTCAGAGATTCTGAGATGAGAGGAAGGTTCCATTTTGTGGATTGGCCCAAGGGGTCCCTCAGCATGCTTGTCCTTATTCAATCAGTATTTGCAGAGCATCATTCTGTGTGAGGCACCTATTTGCAGGCTGAAGGCCATCACCCCCGTAGCAAACAAGACGACCTTCCTGCTCTCCAGGGGCTCATAGTTGAAAAGAGGAGATGAGCAACAGGAGGGTTCCATGGGAGACAGGTGAGGTACCTAATCCAGTCTCACAGGAGCTCAGGTGAGACTTCCTGGAGAGACTGATAGGGAATAGGATGAGGAAGAACATTCCAGGTAAAAGGAAGCTCCCGCTCCAGGGATGAGAGATAGATCTTGGTGAGTTTAAGGAACTGAAGCATTCTGTTGGGCTGGCAGCAGGCTGGGGCAAGGGCAGTGTGTGATAAGGCTGGAGAGGGTGGCCCCATGGCCTCCAAGCTACACGGTGACTTCAAACATGGTGGAACCCAGTGACCTTCAGCACAGCCACCCATCCCAAAGTTGGGGGAGAGTAGTAGGAAGAGGGAACTCTATATATGCATTTTATATAGAAAGCGGCACTTTTATAAGAGTACAATGCACACTCTCCTTCTCTACAAGAGAGAGGACGTCAGGGCAGAAGGGCCCAGTGGTCAGCTCCCAGAGCCCCTTCTTTTCCTTCAAGGAACCTCCTTGCTCAGAGGCAGCGAGCCTACCTGCTGAAACCAGTAAGCAATGACTTATCTAAAACAGCTGTGTGAACTTGCGGTCCACTC